TTTTTAGGCAAGACAGTGAGGGGATATGAGGAAGCTTTTTCTCTTTAATGTAGTGAGCAGTAATGACCTGGAACTCGCTGTTTAACAGGGTTGTACAGTGAAGATGAGTAATGATTCCAAAATAAAAAATTGGGCTTTTGAGGGAAATAAACTTAGCAGGTGACAAGGTACTTGATGGGTCAAATATCCTTTTTCTGTGTCACTATGACTGACTTCGAGTTTAACAATGATCAGATATATCAAGGTCTACTGAAGGAACTCTCTAAAAATAGGGGCTATGGGCGATTTTAATTTTCTCCCTTTCTGGGAGAAATAAAATAGTTCAAGTAGCAAAGACAATGTATTGTTGGAATAGAGTTGTAAATTATTTGGTAAGGAACATCTTGTTAATACTAACTTCAATTATATAAATATTATTAGATTAGAAAGGATGGTCTGAAAGCAAGGTTATAAATTTTAATAAAGTATGTGTTGAAGGGATGAGAAATGAATTGACCACAGTAAATTGGATTTGTTAACAGCTGAACCTACAAATTGATGCATTCAAATAAGTATTTAATACAATACAAAACCAATTCATATTTCCAAAAGACAACAAATAAGGAAAATTGACTATCAGGTTAAATGCTTGAAAGAACGCTAAGAAAAGTAGAAATCTAATTAACTTGAGAGCTGTAAAAAGCCAAAAAAAAATTAATGCATTAATGAAGGAATATGTAAAGAATGTGCAAAGAATACTTAGGCAGGTAGTGAGTAATTGTATAAATGAGAGAAATGTAGTGGTAGATGGTACTGTGGACCCATTAAAGGAAGATCCAAATGAGATTAATAGTCAGTAAGGAAATGACAAAACTTCTTACCAAGGAAAAGATTCTGTTTGTCAGCATGTGGCAAGTGTTCCCCTTGACCTATATTGTGTGCTCTGATCTTCTCCGTATGTTGTTGGATTGGATTAAAGAATCAAAAGGTGTGTTATCTAAATTTACAGATTACGTTGGGTTATAAGACAGTAATTTGTGTAAGAAGGTTACGGTCATAAAGTTATACAGTATCAGTGGTCAGACTTGTGGTGGATGGAATTCCATGTGGGTGAGTGAGGTCATCTACACTGATCAAAGGAAGACAAACTAGAATGTTAATAGTGACGATGAGCAGACATATTGTGGTGTTCATTTTTTTTGTACCAGAGAAGTAGCCTTTAATAAAAAGGCTGATGGAATACTAGCCTTCATCTCAGAGAACCTGGAATGCCCAAGTTAAATATGCTTCAGTTAATCACACCGTTTGGTCAGGCCATGTCTGCAGTTTTGAGCGCAAACTTCTGGAAAGATAATATATTGGCTTTTGAAGGAATACTCTGCAGGTTTATTAAATGTCAATGTTGTTTTGAAGTGTAAATTTGAGACATGTTGCAGAAACTTCATATTACTTTTGAGTTGAGAAAGTTGATGAAATCTAATCATGTTTTAAAAATAACACAGCTCAATAGGAAGTTACAGCAATAGTTCCCTTTTGTAGAGTTCAGAATAATGGGTTATGTTCTCAAATTCAGGCCTGTTTGAGTCATGTGAAATTGGGAATCTCAAAGCAGTGGAAATCTGAAACATTCCCGTAAAAAGCTGTGGATATGCAATCATTTGAAATGTTCAAGGTAGCAATAGACTGTTGATTTGAAATAGTAATAATGTTGAGGGGCAAATGAATTTGAGGTACCAACCAATTTAATATCTAGTTTGGGTGGCATCTTTGGATCAGGCTTAAGTGATTCAATACCATACTCTTGATTCTGTTTTCTTATGTGGAACATTAAAACACCTATACCTAGCTATATTTGCATATGACCTTGCATTCATGAGCTGCTTTTTCACCAGGATTGAAATTATCAGATTAGCTCCTCTGCCACTTTATTCCCTTTCCACTAGTTCACTGGGTTGCGTCCATACTTTCTCAGAATTTAGAAGAATGAGATTTGATCATCTTGAAGCATACAAGGTCATGAAATGACTTGAGGGCAGATATAGAGAAGGCATTTCCTCTTGGAGGGGTTATAACTGAGGACCATAGATTTCCTTTTAAGACAATGAGTTGTTGGTCTATGGAATTTTCTTTCTCAAAGCACTGCTTGCTGACTTTTGATGGACAATAATCTAGGGTTATGGAAGCAGACAACGAAGTGGCCTTGAAACCATATCCAGCTCAGCCATGATCTTATTAAATGGCAGAACAGGCTTAAAGGGCCAAACAGTCTATTTCTGAACTTAAATCCTGTGTACCGATGAACTACCTGAAAGGCTTACCTGCCTTCAGCCCTGAATTTGTTTTTTTTTCTCTCTGGTATTTTGCCCATCTGCCCTCATGCCTTCCCAGTGCTCATCTTGTCCATGGGCCCCCAACTCCCGCTTTTTTCAATCCTATTCCCATTAAACTGCTAACCAGCTAACTTCTGTCTTGTTGGCTTCCGTGTTAATTTTTAAATGATTTCTTCTGTTCAGGTATCTATTGTGCTCGCCTTAAAACTGCCATTATCCGCCCCAATAAAAACCCTTGACATCCTACTTCCTTTCAAAGTATCAACCCCCTTTTCCTCTCAAGTACTTGCATATGTTTCTGCCTCTCAAATCATTTCCCAAATTTCCTGCAATTCCAACTGAAACCCACCAATATTTCCACCCTTCCTAATATATTAAAATGGCTCAAAGGATTCCATTTGAGACTGTGACTTTCCCCTCACTTGTCATCCTTCAGTCTGCAGTCTTTGACATAGTTGATCAGAAATGCTTCTCAATCCTATTCCAGTATTGTCCAATTGAGTGGGACTGCACTCAGTTTGTATTCAATCTTATCTGTTGAATCCTAGCCAGGGAATTGCCACCAACAGTTTTTCGTTCTGTTCCTGCACAGTTATCTTTGGTGAACCAAGGATCTATCTTTGGAACCTACGTATTTTTCAGCACATGCTGCCCTTTGGCAAAGTTTCCAAAAACCTATCAATTTCCATGTATACTGTGGTGATGCCCAGCTGTACCATCTCTCTTGATCCCAGTCTATTATCTCTAAATTGCCCTGTAACCAATTATGTATATCTTTGGTTACTGCCACAAATTCCACTCCTTCACCACTGACACCATCTTCTCCCTGATAGTGAGCTGAGGCTGAACCAGAATGTTGCTATCTCGGTGCCATAATTGATCCTAAACTGAGCTTTTGAATACACAGTTGCTTTTACCAAGAAGGTTTTTTTTTACCTCCCATAACATCATCCCACTCTGATCCTTCCAGCTCCCTTGCTGCTGAAGTTCTCATCCATGCGTTTATCACCTTTATACTTTGCACTGCTTGCCAGCCTCCCAAATTCTATCCCGTGAACCAGAGATCATCCTTGTCTGTGTCCTAACTTTTGCCAGGTTTCAAACACTCGTCATACGTGTTCACTGACCATGTTGGCTTGTGGTTAAGTAACATCCATATTTTCAAATTCTTCCATGGCCTGCCTCATGTGGGACTGGAGAACAGAACTCGACAAGATGCCTGCACTCATTTGGTTACAGCATCCTGAGCAAAACTGATTTTATCATTACATCATTGGATCTGCATGGATCTGAAACCTCATCATCTTTCCTTTAAAATACTCCTTAATACTTAACTCGTTGATCAGACTTTTGAGTAGCTTCCTTTTATCTCCTTGTATTACAAGATGTCATTTTGTTTTATCTCTTATTTTGTCTGTGGACCCCTTGGAATATTTTATTACATTAAAGGTACTATATAAAGTTGTGAATAACTGCTAGTTTTATAATTAGAAAATGTTGAACATTCTGTTGTCAACATTTAAAGACTCAATTTTTTTTTGTGTAGCTCAAGAAAAATTAGTAGAAGCCACTATCTAATTGTCCTTGTTCCAATCATAATGTATCACGGATATAGGGTTGCCAAGGACCAGTGAGCAATGGTAACCAAAAACCATTAATTGATGTTCCACAGACAAGTTACAGTGCTCAAGATCAATGGGCATTGTTTCCTACAGCAACAGTTTTTTTTTGAAATACTGAATCCTTGCCCCCTTTTCCTGGCTTGCCTTTACTAACATTGTTGACTCAGATGTGTCTTTCTCCGTTCATTTGCTTGTGTTTAAATAGATATCGTGGAGATTTAGAGAGCCATGTAGAGACCATCGCTTGGTCACAATTTTGGTATGACCTCTTTTGAGAATCCTCTTCTGTATTATTTTGTATTTCATTAGTTCACCTTTCTCTATGCTAAGATTTAAGCTTCAGGGTGTTGTTTTTCAGTCATTGAACATCTACTTTCCTTCTCTGTTAGCTGCTATTTAAATCTGTAAAGTGAACTTCAATGGAATCAAGTACGCTGATTTTGTGAATTGGAAACAAAAGATAGCGTTTAGTGATTGTTGTATATGTATCTTTATGTGCTGTCAAGTCATTGCTTTCATTTTTGATCTTTGTAATCTGAGAGTTTAGGTTTGCAAACACCTTGCATGAGACAGGGTAAGCACCAGAGGACTGCAGCTTTTTACATTGTTCTTTTTTGAGTTATGCTCACTGTTTTTCATATCATTGAGCTAGTCAAGAATCTTTTAAGCTATGCATAGATAGAATCTCTGAACACAACAGAATTTTTGCCAAGCATTTTGATTTGATAGATGAATTTGGGTTCTGAAATAGGCAGGTCCAGTGAGGATCATTGAGTGCTGTCATGAAGTTTAAATTCTTTGAAATTCTTTTGAGATGGAAATTATTCACGTGGGACCCCCCCCAGAGAGCAGTTACGCTACTCGTTATTGAAAGTGGCAGTATATCCTTGCCCCTTTCTTTGTTAGGGGAGGAAAAATAAATTTTGCCAAACAGATTCCCTTAGACTACCACACCAAGGGATGGCATTGAGATTTTTTTTAAAAAAGAAAAGTTACAGCAAAGTTACTATTTTGATGCCCAGCACAAGACATTTATAGAATTCCATACACAAGTCCTTTGTGATTTCAGATTGTCCACGAACCCCGGATACTCCCAACCCCGAGTCTACAAATAATAGCCTCATTGCTGCCTTGAAGAAGCAATTGGACATTGAGCTGAAAGTGAAGTTGGGAGCTGAGAATATGATTCAGATGTACTCGAATGGATCCTCAAAGGTGGGTTAATGTGCTAAAGTACACCTGCAGGATTGATACACAATAGAACTATCTATGTTCAAACATAATCTATTTGAACTAAAACATGTTTATTTGCCCGCTAATACACCTGTTTGTTTTCAATTTGAGCCTGAACTAAACTGGATGCTAATCTCTCAACAAAATTATGGCAGTTGAGCATCTTGTTAGGCTGATGTCCGCTTATGCTGTATTCTCAAGTTATTTTTTAAAAAGGCAGTGTTTTTGCTACAAACAAAAAGTAAATTTGGTGGAATTCTCTTGAGTGCAGTTTTAAATGATCTTGCTGGACTTGGTAAATCCCAACAAACTTATTTTCAGGTATCAGTTCAGCTGTGCAAGATCCAGATTGTTGATCATGTTTGTGTGAGTGTTAAGTGCAGTACAAAAGTAGCTAAAATATTTTCTACTGTATTGAAAACAGACCAGGATTAATATCTTCTCAAGGTCGTACTGGATTGAGTTTCACTATTGATCAAAACCTAGTGGGATCTGATACAGTCCAATATGATGATTGCTAGCCTGAGATGGCCGGGGCGGAGGTGAACGTAGATGCAGCACATGGCCTTCTTGTGAACTTGGAACTAAAGTTGAAAGACTGAAATGGTGTTGAGCAGTGATTCCCAAACATTTTTGCATTGTGACCCCATTTTAATGCTTGACAGAGTTGGTGTTTCAGAGGCATGAGACTGCAGAATTTTTAAGTAACTTTTTGCTGCTTTTCAGGGCAGAAATTAGGCCTGAAAGGTCACTCAGTTAAACCATGTCCATTATTTAACAAGGAAAGTGAGGATTTAAACGGGCCTACAGCCCTCAGCTCAGTTGCTCTGAGGAAGAGTCACTCAAGCTGAAATGTTAATTGTGGATTTCTCTCCACAGATGCTGCCAGACCCTGCTGAGCTTTGCCAGCAATTTTTTTTTTTGTCAGTACTCCCTCACTAGGTTCTGTGGGGTAGACTGGTTAGTAAAGTTAGATCACGTGGAATCCAGGGAGAACTAGCCAATTGGATCTAAAATTGACTTGATATTAGGAGACGGTGGTGATGGAGCATTATTTTTCAGACTAGGGTCCAGCAGGGATCAGTGCTGTTGTTTGTCATTTATGTAAAACTATTTTGATTAAAATATAAGAAGCATGGTTAGTAAGTTTGCAGATGACACCCAAATTGGTGGTTAGTAGACAATGAAGAAGGTTATCTAAGAGTACAGTGGGATCTTGATCAGTGGGGCCAAAAGGCTGACGAACAGCGGATGGCGTTTAATTTAGATAATTGCAAGGCAAACCAGAGTAAACGGTAGGACCCCAGGGAGTGCTGCCGCATAGAGACCTAAGGATTCATGTACATAGTTACTTGAAACTGGCATCACGTTTAGACAAGGTGGTGAAAACACTTGGAACGTTTGCCTCCATTGCTCAGAGTGTTGAGTACAGGAATTGGGGCATCATGTTGCAGCTGTACAGGACGTTGAGGCCACTTGTGGAGTACTGCATATAGTTGTGGATGCCCTGCTCTGGGAAGGATATTATTAAATTGGAAAGGATTTACAAGGGTATTGCCAGGAATGGAGGGTTTGAGTGAGGAGGATAGGCTGGGATTTATTTCCTTGGATCGTAGAAGGCGTACTGATGACCTTTTATATCGTGAGGAGCATAGATAAGGTGAATAGCCAAGGTCTTTTCCCTAGATTTGGGGAGTTCAAAGCTAGAGGGCATAGGATTTGGAGTAGATCTGTAGCTCGGATTGTGGGTGTTGAGGTTGGTTGGCTCGCCGAGCTGGTTTCTTGTTCTGCAGACGTTTTGTTACTGTGCTTGGTAACATCCTCAGTGCAGCCTCTGAAGCGTCAGTGTGTTTTCCCGCCTGGTTTTTAAACTCTGGGGTCCGTTGCGATGGATTGCCTCACTTCCGGGTTTCCTCCATAGTGGAATGTATATGGGGTCGAGTTCAATGTGTTTATTAATAGCCTGCTTCGTGGAGTGCCATGCTTCCAGGAATTCTCATGCTTGTCTCTGCCTAGCCTGTCCCAGGATCTTGGTGTTGTCCCATTCGAAGTGGTGGTTCTCCTTGTCCATGTGGATTGAGATGAGTGAGTATTGGTCGTGTCTTTTTGTAGCCAGTTGGTATTCATGTACTCTTGTTAGTTTCCTTCCTGTTTGTCTGATGTAGTGTTTCTCGCAGTCTCTGCAGGGTATCTTGTAGATGACATTGGTCCTGTCCATGGCGGGGAGTGGGTCTTTAGTTCGGGTGAGCACTTGTCGTCGGGTTGATGTGGGCTTGTGTGCCACTCTGATGCCCAGCGGTCATAGGAGTCTTGTGGTGAGTTCTGACGTGTTCCTGATGTAGGGTAGTGTGATGTGTGTCGGGGCGTGTAGAATCTTTCTGATGCTGTTCCTGCAGGCATCTCCTGACCCAGTTCTTTGGATATCCATTATCCTTAAGCACTTGGAAGAGGTATTCCTCCTCCTCTTGGCGTAGTTCTATGTTGCTGCAGTGTGTTGTTGCCCTTTTTAAATAGTGTTCGCACGCAGCTTCATTTGTCTGTGTTAGGATGATTACTGATGAAACAGCACAGAACTACGCCGAGAAGAAGAACACCTCTTCCAGGTTTTCAAAGATGATGGATAGCCAAAAAACTGGGTCAGAAAAAGCCTACACGAACAACACCAGGAAGATGCGACACGCCCCAACATACTCATCACAGTACCTTACATCAGGAACACATCGGAACTAACCACGAGACCCCTACAACCACTGGGCATCAGAGTGGAACTCAAACCCATAGCAACCCTACGACAACTGCTCACCCGAACCAAAGACCCACTACCCACTATGGACAGGACTAATGTCATATATAAGATTCCCTGCAGAGACTGTGAGAAACACTACATGGGACAGGAAGGAAACTAACAACAAAGGTACACGAACACCAACTAGCTACAAAAAGACACAACCAATACTCACTCATCTCTATCCACATGGATAAGGAGAACCACCAATTCGACTGGGACAAGCAAAGCGGAGACAGGCATGGGAATTCCTAGAAGCCTGGCACTCCACGAAGAAAGCCATCAACAAACACATAGAACTCGACCCCATGTACACTCCACTGCGAAGGGAAACAGGAAGTGAGGTAATCAAGCTCAACGGACTCCAGAGTTTAAAAACCAGGCGAGAAAACACAACGGCACTTCATCGGAGGCTGCACTGATTTGATGTTACCCAGCAGGATAATGAAATGTCTGCGGAACAACGAACCAGCTCGGCGAGCCAACCAACCACAAAACTAGAGGGCATAGGTTTGAGATGAGAGGGGAGAGATTTGAGAGAGACCTAAGAGGAAATTTTTTCAGAGGGTGACCCGCCAAAGGTAGTAGTAGATGCAGGTACAGTTATAACATTTGAACGGCATCTGGATACGTACATAAATAGGAAAGATTTGGAGGGATATGGGCCAAACGCAGGCAAATGGGACAAGTGTAGTTTGGGAAACCTGTTTGGCATGGACTAGTTGGACCAAAGGGTCTGTTTCCATGCTGCATGACTCTCTGACTCCAGTTGGAGCTCCCTGGCAGCCAGTGCTGACTTGGAGCTCATGACCCCAAAATGTGTTTTCATGATCCACACATTGGGAAGCCTTGGTGGAGAGACGTCATTACTCCACGTCTGAGTACTCGTTGATGACCTGCTACTAAAATGGAAAGTTTAAGCAAAGCCTGGCAGTTAAGTGTGAATCGGCATAAATGGGTCCATTCTCCATAGTCCCTCCTGTATGACTCATTCCATTCGCCAACCAATCAGTACTGTCCTCGCTTCCAGTATGAATACTGGGTTTTCTCTTTAAATTGCTATTTTTACAAAGTGTCTTGAGTGCAAGATGATAAGCTTGACCATGTTGTCTTTTCAGCAATACTCAAGTGGAAAGTGTTCTTTTTCCTATACTGACTTTCTTCACATTGGTCACGCAAAATTGACACATACAGTAAACAGTGAGATTTGCAGTAATTTTATCTGCAAGTTATATTTGGAGATTCTATTGAATATAATTCACAGAATCACAATTATTCCAGTGGGGAAGGATTCTGTTCAGCCAATTGTACCTGCACTGACTGTACTATATGATCTAATGCCATTCTCCTACCTTTTCCCCCATATCCTACACCATTACTATCAAAAATACCATCCAGTGCATTCTTGAAGGCCTTGGTTGAACTTCCCATCACCACATTTGCAGACAGGATATGAAGTGCACTAACGGCTTACTGTGTGAAAGTATTTCTTCTCCTATCAATAGTGCTTCATTTGTACATAATTTTAAATGTATGCCCTCTTGTTTCTTTTACAGGTGAAAACAACTTCACCCTATCTATTCTGTCCAGCCTGCTTATGATTTTCAAAAACTGTGTCAAATCTCCCCTTAGCTGCTGCCTTTCCAGGGGAACAGTCCCAAATTCTTCAATCAATCTTCATTGCTCAGGTTTCTCATACCTGGAGCCACTCTTGTAAATTGTTCCTGCAATTTCTCTGGTTCATTTACATTCTTCCTATAATGTGCCCTGAAATAACTTGAGAGAGGCTGGTAACTCGTCACCAAGTCACCTTTTTATTTGCGTTTAGAAATTCCTTGACTCTGGCACAGCCTTGTCAGAGTCAGCACCTAGAGTATCAGAATCTCTGACACTCCCCTTTTTATCTGTCAGCCAGGGCTCCTTGATTGGACCAGATTAACAGCCCAAATCTGGGAACTTTATATTCTATGATATCCAGCTGGCTGACCTCATTACAAGCATTACATTTCTCTCCCTCTGTGTTGGAGGGCATAGGCTGGCCCTTTTTTCTTGATAGACCGCCCAGGAGACGCTCCGAGTCCGGTTCCTCCGACTGTGTCCAGTACAGACGGTGTGTAATGCACAGTTCTTGCACCAGGAATGCCTCGGTAGAAATTGTGTGGCTACATCCATCATGATCATCTGGATTCAGAAGTCTCGTTAACGTTTGATGGGGTGGGTGAACCCATTGGTTCCAGCAGCCTTGCCGACTGTTCCAAGGAGCAGGGCACATTTTTCATAGCTTCCGTACAGTGTGGAAGCAGGCCATTCAACCCATCAGGTCCATGCTGCCCCTTGAAGAGCATCCTACCAAAACCCACCCTCTCCCTATTTCTGTAACCCTGCATTCCCTGGCTAATCCGCCCAGCCTGCACATATTTGGACTGTGGGAGGAAACCCATGCAGACATGGGGTGAATGTGCAAACTCCACATAGACAGTCGCCCAAGGGTGGAATTCAACCCAGGTCCCTGGCACTGTGAGGCAGCAGTGCTAACCACTGAGCCACCGTGCTGCCCTTTTGCTCTCGTACCATTTGCTGGTCCACGTTCCTGTTCAGGACTGTCTAATCGACCCAAACTTTGTATGTCAGTGGTCCTGACCTCGTGTCGACCATGCCCCTTACCATGCAGGGTCATTTCTGTAGTTCTTGCACCAAACTTCACCAATCTTCAACTGACTCTCTCGCTTAGCAGAGTCTTTGGTCTGATGACCATTTAAACAGACGTATATTTTTAGTTCTGATTTGGATGTTGCTAAGCAATTTAGCTGTTCCAACCCAGATGTAGGTGGACTTTCCAGAGTATGCACTCTCCTTGATACTAGCCTATGAGCTATCTTACTCACTCACCTTAGCTCAAGTAGGATTCTATTGCTGTCTCGAGTCTGCATACCAGCAGCAACTTGGCTTGCTGGCCCAGGTCTTGAAGAAAATTTTAACCATTTGGCTGAGACTTGACTTTGTTCTGGGGTTTTGCTGTGGTCCAACCTAGAGTTGCTCTGTTCAAGATCGTCCTGAGTGGTGTTCCCCAAGCTCAGTCAGACTGGCAACTTTCGTCAGAATACCCTGAAACTTGTATGCTCCACTTGCCGCATTTTCCAATGATAAAGCTAGTTCTTGTGCCTGCTTGAAATCCATTTGGGCTTCAGTTAGTAGGTGCTTTTGCACGGTTACATCATTAATCCCACTCTTGTCGCCACTGAAGTAACTCCACAGAGGAAAAGCTCACAAGGTCTGGCAGCATCTGGAGAGAGAAATCAAAGTTAGTGTTTCAGGTCCATTGACAGTCAGAACTGAATTTCCAGCAGTTTGATTTCCAGCACCTGCGGTTCTTTTGGTTTTTACTCGTTACTTACACGTGGAAATTCCTTGACTCTGGCACAGCGTTGTAGGAGTCAGAATCCAGTGTCAGAATCTCTGACACTCCTCTTTTTATCTGTCCACCAGGAATCCCGAATTGGGGCTGTTCATCTGGTCCATCAAGGAGCTCATTCTGAGGTCCAGCTGGCTGACCTCGTTAAAGTTACTATATACCCAATACTCCAGCTGAGGTACAAGTTCAACATCCCCTCCTTGCTCTTGTACTCTATGCCCCTATTAATACATCTGACAACGCTATACTTTCTTTAGTGCTCTCTGCACCTGTCCTGCTATCTTCAATGATCTGTGTACATAAACACCTAGGTCCGTCTGCACCTGTGCCCCCTATTTTGTAATGTCTTTGTGCCCTTCTGACCATGACCTCGTACTAGATCTTCATGAGTCACCTATCCTCCCAATCCACCAACTTGTCAATGTACTTTTGAATTCCATACTGTCGTCCTTGCAGCTTACAGTTCTCGCAAATTTACTGTCAAGTCCAAATTGGGAAATTGCCATTTGCATCCAAGAATCAGGTCTGGAAAAACAAGCATCCCAATACTGGCCTGGGTGACTCCACTGCAAATCTTCCTCCAGCACAAAAATGATTCATTGATGGTTAATTTTCAAACGCTCTGCCCATTTTGTCTTTCTGGTCACTGTCCCTTTTGTACCATCACCTTTTAACTTTCTGTTGTGAGACACTGCATCAGATGCCTTCAGGAAATCCATGTAACTTTTTTTTATTCCCTCACTGGATGTGGCTGTCACTAGCTGACCAGCATTTATTGCCTGATCCTAGTTGCCCTTGCAAAGGTGTGATGAGCTGTCTTCTTCAATCGTTGTAGTCAGCATGTTGTAGGTTGACCCACAGTGGCATTAGGGAGGAAATTCCTGGATTTTGAGCCAGTGACACTGAAGGAATAGTGTATGTATTTTCAACTCCAGATGGTGAGTGGCTTGGAGGGGAACCTGCAGGTGATGGTATCCTCACGATATACTGCCCTTGTCCTTTGAGATGAAAGTGGTCATGGGATTCCATCTACCAAGTCGGCAGCGAAGAAGGTCACCTCTGAGTACAATGGGATCCTGATCAGATGGGCCAATGGACCATGGAATGGCAGAGTTTAATTTAGATAAATGTGACGTCCTGCATTTTGGGAAGGCAAATCAGGGCAGGACTTGTACACTTAGGTAAGGTCCTGCGGATTGTTGCTGAAGAAAGACACCTTAGAGTGCACGTTCATAGCTCCTTGAAAGTCAAGTCGCAAGTAGACAGGGTGGTGAAGGCAGCGTTAGGTATGCTTGCCTTTTATTGGTCAGTGCATTAAGTATAGGAGTTGGGAGGTCATATTGGGGCTGTAAAGAACATTGGTTAGGCCACTTTTGGAATACTGCGTTCATTTCTGGTTTCCCTTCTGTAGGAATGATGTGAGACTTGAAAGGGTTCAGAAAAGATTTAAAAGGATGTTGCCAGGGTTGGAGGGTTTGAGCTGTAGGGAAAGGCTGAACAGTGGATTGTCGGAGTTTGAGGGGTGACTTTTAGAAGTTTATAAAATTGAGGGGCATGGATAGGGTGAATAGCTAAGGTCTTTTCCCAAGGGTGGGGTGCATAGGTTTAAGACGAGAGTGGGAAGATATAAAAGGGACCTAAGCGCAACTTTTTCATCCAGAGGGTGGTGCATGAATGGAATGAGCTGCCAGAGGAAGTTGTGGAGGCAGGTACAATTACAACATTTTAAAAGACATTCTCGATAGATACAGGAATAGGAAGGGTTTAGAAGATATGGGCCAAATGCTGGCAACTGGGACTAGATTAATTTACGATATCTGGTCGGCATGGATGAGTTGGATCAAAGAGTCTAAGTCGAAAGCATTACCTTCCTCAATTGTTTCCGTTACCTCTTCGAAGCATTCCAAGTTAGTTGAACACCATTTCCGCTTAATAGTCCATGCTGAGGCTTCCTAATCAAGTTAATCAGTTGTTTCTACATCTGTTTGATTATCTCCTAATTTATGAGGCTAACTTTACCCCTAGTCATTGGGAGCTCTCTGGAGCTCACCCAAGTGGTTTGCACGCATTCTCTTTACGTGCAATTTGCTGACACAAAACATGATTTAACATTTTTAAGATTTGCCTCAATACCACATATATTGAAAGGAACTGTGGTTTACCAAAATAAAAACATCAGATTTCAGGGTTTTAAATTATTTGATGTCAGTCAGTTTTTTATTTGCAGTACACTATTGAGTGATGCAATTTCTTACACACTCTTCTATTTTGGAAGTGCAAGTCAGTATATTCATTCAGAAGCTGTTGACCTTTTAACTGGGATATATGTGTGTACAGGAGTTGGCAGTGTCCAGGACCTCACCCAAGTAAATCTCTTGGTGTGAGTTTGCTGACTAGCATTTCAAAGTTGCACTAATGGATGGCCTGAATATTATCCAAGCATGAGATATAGCTGTAAACGTTTCTGATATGGATTACTAAATGGAAATTAGGTTATAGAAGCACTTGATTTTCTGCTCCTCCTTTTTAATCAGGGCCACTGAAGCTCCTACTAACATAGAAAGCAGGAGCAGAAGTGGGCCATTCAACCCATCGAACAAATTTGCCATTTAATATGATCATGGCTGATGGTCCAACTAAAGGACCATATCGAACTCGTTGAAAATAATCATTTTTGGCCTCAACCACTTTCTATGGCAGACAACTCCACAAACTCACCATGAGGTGAAGAAATTTCTTCTCATCTCTGTCCTAAATGCACCCCCCGCAACTATCCTTAAACTGACCTGTGGTTCTGGACTTCGGGTCATTAGGAAAATCTTTCCTGCATTTACCCTGTCTTATCCATTTAGAATTTCCTAGGTTTCTACAAAATTTCTCCTTCTGCAATCTTATATAGTCCTATTCAATTCAGCCTCCTTCCATAAGTCAATTCTGCGATCCTGGGAATCCATCAGTAAACTTTCTTTGCACTCCCTTCATAGACAGAACATCCATCCTCCGATTAAAAAGGTTAACACTCTGTGTTCACACCAGGGCCCTTTACAGTTGCAGCAAGATATCCCTGCTCCTGTACTTGAATTCTCTCACTACCAATGCCAGCATATCATTTGCTGCCTTCGCCACCTGCTGCGCCTTCATGTTTACTGTGACTGGAGTACAAGAATAGCCAGGTCATGTTGCGCCTTCCCGCTTATCCAATCTGTTGTCATTCAGATAATAATCTGCCTTTCTGCTTTTGCTACAAAAGTGGATAAACTCACATTTATCTACATTATACAATGTCTGCCATCCCTCATCCCGTCCAAAGCACACTGAAGCATTCCTGCAGCCTCCACACAGTTCACTTTTTTACACAGCTTTGCCATCTGCAAACTTGGAGATGTTGCATTTAGTTCTCTCATCTTAAATCATTAATATGTATTCTGAATGGCTAGGGTCCCAGCACTGATCCCTGCAGTGCCACGCTAGCCACTGCCTGTCACTTAGAAAAAGGTTTGTTTATTCCTACTGTTTCCTGTCTCCAGTTCTACCAATTCGCCATTCATGTCAATGCACTACCCCAATCCAACGTGCATTAATTTTACGACCGTATTTGTTGGCACAGGCAACTGTGGGAAATTACGCATGGGAAATGCATGGTTCCACACGCTGGTGTCATCGTGTAGACTTTACGTATGATGTCAGATGCAAATGCATGTGCAGGCAGTTTTGGACGGGGGTTCAGAAGTGGGAGAGAGAGAGAGATGTGGGTGAGGGATCCCCAGAGCAAGAAAGGAAGAGGGCCAAGA